ACAAGCTTTAACTCAGATAACTTGTTCAAGGAGGCTAAGCACTCGCTATCTTATGGAATGTGAAACTGACTGCACAGAGCTGCAGTCACAATGCACGCTTACAAACTTTATTTCAATTTCCAGAGAAAAGTTAACACAATCATGTGGACTGATCTGCAGGTAGCCTTCTTGCAATCTTGGTGGATGTGTTTATTATCAGGAAAAATTACATAATAACAAACAGAGAGACAAAGAAATTTACATTCCTTTCAAATTGGTGCTACAACATAAAAAGAATAACATTTAGGCATCAACAATTTTTAAAGTTACGTAGAGATATCCACATATCACCATGGGCAGTGTTAAACACTGGCCTCTAGAGTCACAAGGCTTACTTTCATTTTGTCTATTTATGGTTGAAATTATTTTAATTTCAGATTTTTCAATAGTCTTATTTTCAATGGTTTTGTTAATGACAGGAATGTTGGGTTATGGTATGGCCAAGGCTGCAGTTCACCAGTTAGTTAAAGGACTTGCAGCAGAGAATGGAGGTCTTCCAGCTGCTGCATCAGTTCTAGCCATTTTACCGTAAGTTGGAGTGGTAATCCAGTCAATGATAAGACAACTGAAGTCTAACTACATTGATTCACTTCAGATAACCACGCTTGATAATTTGGTGATTTTGTGCTTTGCTTATTTGTCAAGATTGTTGGTCACCAACAGTCTTTTCTGTGTAAGAGAAGAAAGGGATATATTTTATAAATCTGGACTTGTAGCTAGCATACTACAAAAGAAGGTACAAAAGTCAACAAGAGCTTGATGTACCCCTATTAGAGTTTTGGCATTTTAGCTGGGCAGAAATTGGGGTAATGGCAAGACGAAGGGGATGTTTTACTGTGATGTCAATTTTCACAAATCTAAACTGTGGGAGCACTTGCTATGGAGGTTCCACAATGTCAGAATCATTCACATCATATTCCCTTAATACATGTATATTGGGTTATTAATTAACATTCAATGCACGAGAGGTCTGAAGCTTCAGGTCTTTTTTCTTTTCCATGTTAACTACAGTATGACGTTGGACACACCTGGTAACAGAAAAGGTATGCGTGATGCTGATCATACTCAGTGGACACCCCTGGAGTATGTTGCAAAGTGAGTAAAACTACATTTGTAGTCATTTAACTTGGCCGGGTTTGGGGGTGGGGTGGACAAGGCACATGCAGTGAGCAGTATCGAAACCCAGGGGGGGACTCCAATAGAAAAAGGACGGGGTCCTCGCCGGAAATTTTGAAAAGAACCCCTAAGAGGTACAAAGATCCTGTTTTGTGGGCGTGGCTTGAAATGTTTTCCCTCCTAAGAGGTACGAATTCTTACATAACTCATTATCTCCGGTCATATATTTCGGCTCAATACCCTAAAAGGTACCGGAAAAGCTCCCGCTGTAGACCATTTGAGGCTTAATTAACACACTAAGAGGCACCAAAACTGCTATTTTAACCCCTAAAACGTACCACGAGCACCCCCATCCTTTTTATATGGGAGTTCCCCCCCCCGGGGGATCAAAACCCCCAAAATCGTTGCCAATCTTACAATGAAGCCTTATAAACCGAGAATGCAAGGGATTCGACTTGCCCGTAAGTGAATGATTTTTTATTATTTTTGGCATTTATAGCGGCGTGCCGATTACTGTTTGGGATGTCGAGACCTCAGTCTCGCGTCAAGACAACTCTCGCGGTGTATGACGGTGACTTCAAAAGAAATAGAACTTGCCTTGGTATTAGTTGTAATCATCTGAAAATTTCATTACACAAAGCGTTACATGTATGAATTTCCCTTTGTCCTTTTATACTCCATAGCTTGTTATTTGAGTGGGCCCAAGGTAGCAAAGTTCCAGCTCGAGGAAGCTTGGTTAAACTGAACACGAAGGATGGAAACTCTTCATACGAAATTCACACTGGTGAACTTCTGTGACTGGACTAAACAACCTGTGTGTGTGATTTGATCGACACTCTCAGATTCGTAGGACTAGGAAAACGTCTATCTGTAACAAGAACTGTTGTTATATAAAGATACCATGATCTGTTATGAGAACAAAGATTTACCGTTTAATACAGAGAAAATAGCCATGCTATACTAGGGAAAATTTCATAATCATGGCGGTGTTAAAGACGAGAACCTTTTCCACTTGAGTTAATGAATGTTCAGAGGAATAGGTTGACCTAACATTTGGATGTTAATGTATGAATTAGGTTCTTAATTTCACTTAACTGGTAAATAAAGTAATGTGCAATATCTTAGTTTAGTATTTTTCCCGGAACTCAATTTCGCCAAATTGTAGAAGGCCAAGCCGGTGCGCATTATCAAACAGGGTTTCTCAGTCTCTTTAATGATCACAAGGAGCCCGGCAGCAATAGTGTGTTTGACGGCCGCACCAAGGATGTGTTTGAGAACTATAACAAGAAGAGGATTGTGATTCAGAACTGAAGAAGAGAGTGCAAACATCAAATGACGATAACCTGCTTCGATTGCAGAAAGTCGTAACACAAGTCAAGGGTCTCATTTTCGCCGCAACAAGCGTACTCATAATTTTAAACATTTGTGCGGGTTTCGACCTACTGTCCCCGGTACAGTGGAAGCAGTTTCAACAAATAATGGCTATTTTCAGAAACAATCTGGCTCCGGCATCAGTTTTCAGGACTGTCAATTAACTTGTCGTCATCATCATGTGATATCTAGTAGTCAGGGGAAACTAAACATAAACCTAAAACAGCTCTTGAAAGTGTCAAATAGCAGCGTAACGTAGAGATCGCGGGCTTGGTCAGTGTAATCCCCCGCAGGCTCAGGGTAAAGACAGTATGCCAACAACAAAACAAGTAAGACAGTAAGTATGCAGTGCGGATTAAACATAGGTGACAAACCCTGTATGCTTAAGATTGACCCCTTGTGATTTATTCAGTTGGCACGAGTGGATTGAGGAAATATTGAATAATAAGTTATTTTTAATGCCCGTCGGGGGAAAGCGGGAACTGGCGAAGTAAGCACATTTTTAGATAATGATAGTTAAATCAGGCCTATTTTTGGAAGTAGCTGTGCTCAAATTTCAACCCTTTTTCGATGACTTCCATTTCGGTCGAATATCCTTCCTGAGAAGAAATGGCTGGAGAAATAGTGGTAGGTGTGTTTAAAGCCACTATTGGTTTGCTCATGGATGAGGGCCGTGACTGGTTAGCGGAAAAACTCAAGGAAGGCGATGTGACGGATGAAAAATTTCGTGACTGGATCATTCGGGAAATCAATGCTATGAATTTGAAGTTAGATGCAATCGCTTGGAAGGACCTTGGAGCAAGCATGAACTTTTTCAAGGAAGGACTCTCGCTGATGTATAAAGTGCTTGAAAAAGTAAACGACAGCGAGCACGGTATGGTACATGAGGCATCAATTGAGACGTTACACGCCTGCTCTCTTTCTTCTACAGCTGGTCAAACTACGGTTTGTCTTGCTGAGGGAATGAAGAACTTTACGCTGACTGATTCAGATGAATCGAAGAAAGAGGCACTGTATGATGCGAAAAAGAGATTCAAGGATGCCCGCAAGAAAGCAACCGAGGCCTTCAGCAACTCGGCACTGCGGCCGGCGGAGCGAGTGTTAGCCATGCAGTATCGTATTATGGCGACATTACTCGAGAAAGTGGACAACCCTGCTAGTGCATTAACCGCGTGTAAACTGTGCTTAGAACAGCTTCACGCTATGACGTTGGTTCAGAAAAGTCTTAAAGTGGAACTCAAGAAAAGTTTCAAGTTTTTGCTGAGCAGAGATGAACGCAGGGAAATCATTTCTGCCGTTTGCCAAATAAATCACGTCGTCTACGTTATTGCCGAGATGGTTGGCGATCTTAAAACAGTCTTGAACTGGCCATGTATCATACTCGGAGAAGAGCAGCTTGATCCCTTGCGTGACGTACGTGTGGTGAAGGTGATGAGAAAACTTCATAAGCAACAATCTGGTGCATTGAGGTCATTTGGTCAGGAGGAGGGCCACGAGCTAAAGGGTCCTCAAAGTATCGCCGCAAACACTCGAGGACAGCTTGTTGTAACAGACAACATGAATTGTGAATTAAAAGTGTATGACAGTAAGGGCAAGTGCTTGTCCCATTGCCCACTTCTTGGCAACGATGACAAGGCTGCAGTGGTGAGAGTTCGAAGTGTAGCGACAGATCAGAATGACAGAATGTACATTCTGGTAGACTCCAGGCCAGCTAATACTGTGTATGTGCTCAGCGACACACACACGAATAGAAATTGTTTTTCTCTGGAGGAGAGACTAGGAGGCCGCTCTTTGACAGTAAACAACAACAATCAAGTACTTGTCTTGGTGGAGGAAGATCTGAGCAAAACCCCGAGTGCATGCATGACGATCTCCATCGAATGTAAAGTAGAAGTGTACCGCCCTAATGGACGACTTGTACGCAGCTTTGGACAGGGAATATTAAAAGATACTGTCGATATCACAGCTACTAATGATGGCAGTGTTATGGTGCTACAAGGAAATTCTTGTGTTCACGTGTTCGACGCTGAAGGAAGCCATGTCCACCAGTTCCAAGTGATGGGCAATACTGGCCCTGAAACAGGCGCTGCAATGACATTTCACCAGGCAACCGATCATACGTTTATTGCTTCAACAAATTCAGACCATCGCCTCCAGGTCTCGATACACGGCAAAGATGGCGTCTTTCTTCGCAGCATTCAACTCCACGAGAAAGGGAAGTGGTGCATTACGGGAATCGCAGTCACCATGCAGCTGAACATTGCTGTGTCCATATACGATGAATGTCAAGAGGACAGTACAGTACTGGTTGCTTGATGTGGTCTGCAACTGAATATTGCTCTTTATTAGGCTATAAATTACAAACACAAACACAAGCGGTATTGTTATGTCTGGCTGAAGATAATCGAAACAAGTTAGCTCAACCTTGAATTCCCTGCAATCGAGCTCTAGACTACCTGGGGAGCTTTTCGGCAAAGCTTCACAAAATTAAGTACAACTTGTTCTTTTATTGAAATGTGAAATTTTAAAAGAGAATTGCATTTTTCCAACCGATTGGCACGAAACTCTTTCATTTTATAATTAACAGCCATAAGGGGTTTTTCCTTTCCAAAACTGGAATGAATGGCATGGTTTTCCGGTCGAACAGGAAAATTTGCCCGGAAGGGAAATTTCCCTTGACAAGATCAGCGACGTGTATGACTAATGATTCATAATTGTGTTGCCTCAAACGAAGTACTTAAGATATATATCTTATAAACCAGACGCGAGGGCCGTGATGCCAGAATATTGGCCCAAGACGGTTCTTGCATGAGAGTGCGGACCGCGGGCAGCGAGGTCCGTACAGTAAAGTCCAAAGGCAGATATTCTACCCTGTGCAGTCCCGAGCAAACTTGGTTAATATTAGACTTATTACATAATTATTTATAGCTCGATAACAATTTTTAAAATTGATTTTTTTAAAAAGTAAGGAATGTTATTTGTATTCAGTAGTATTTTTTAAGACTGGAACTTGGCAAGTCAGTGTAATCTTAAAAGGGGCTATGTCTCGGTAGACTATTTTGAGTCAATTCTTCTGATGAGCAGAATTGTCTTTAGAATGTGAAGTAACCTCGAGATAAAAGCTTTCCACGGTAGCAGGCACCAAAAAGTGAAACTAAGAGTAAACAAGAAGGGCTAAACTGACAAAGGTTAGGAAAGATTTCCTGTCAAACTCGAAAAAGTTGGCCAATGTTTTTCTAAGACGCGCCTTCCGAGAGGTAGCGCGTTATCCGGCTTATCCAGTGCTTCCACTTCAACATGTTTTATCTACTCGCTTGCTCATCACAAAATATGCTTCTAGAAAGTTACCGTGGACCGCCTAGCGTGCAAGAAGGCTCACCTCGTAGCTTGACGCTGTCTAATTACAAGAAAAATGTGACAGCCAATGTGAAAACTATGGTTGTTCGTAGTGTGTGGGCATATCAAAAATTACGGCTACTGAGACGTAATTCCTGGCTTCAAAATGCAGGTAAGAGCCGCATCGTTTGAGAACTTTGCACTAGTGTTGTTCATTGATTTCAGATTCTCAAAGTTCCCCGGCCTTTTAATTTTCGGCGGTAACTCGGCGCTTTTCGTTTTGCCGCGTTACAATTTCTGCCGCGTTTTCTTCATTCCGCGCCCCAACTACACTCTTTTATAATGCTTTTTTTCCGGCCGAGGCTGAATATTCATATATTTCTACCGATTTTAGGCTGGAAATATTCTTGTGAATATTCTTAGATTATAGCGCATGACATTTCTGTTTTGGAATGTATTTGGTGTCTGGACGGTGTTGAAGTGATCTTGGAGCCAGCCTGCGGGCATTAAAGGCTGATATGAGTACATAAAATCTTGCAGAAATCTTAATTCAGGGCCGTAGCCAGAAACAAATTATGACTGAGGCAGTGTCCTAGAAATGAGTTGTGACTGAGGCAATGTCCATGGTTTCATTCTCTTCATGGGAGTTTAGGGTGTTTTGGTGACTTTAAACAACAAAAACGAAAAATATGACTGGGGCAAGTGCCTCGTTTTGCCAGTTACTAGCTACGGCCCTGCAATTATTAGCATCGTACATACGGATAGGGCTGTTTTTGTTCCTTTTTGGCTAGTTTTGCGATTTATTAGTTAGAGAAAGGAAGAATTTGATACGATTTAGTTAAAAACATAATTCTGTTGTATTTTTGAACACAAAATTATGTTCTTTTTGGCAAAATCCTAGCCTCGACTTTAATCTTAAGATAATCTTAAAATTTCGCAAATTTCAGCTTCGATACCCCTTTAAAATATATTCTTCTAAAATAAAAGAGAGAGAGAAAAGAGTGTAATAAACTTTTCACTTCACGGTGTATCGATAAACTGAATCTTTATACACTGAGTTTGTTATGATTCCAGATTACCACTACGAGAAGAAACATATCTAGTGCTATCTTTTCGAAGCCGGCTTACTTAATTTTCGACGTATTCTTTGAATTACCAAAAATGCAACAGTTTTTGGAAGAAAAGTTGCCGATTTCTTCAGTGATCAGCTCTCCAAGTCTGAAAAGTATCCCAAGAGCTCTTTGTCGATCACGCCAATGCCGTCGTTTACTGATCAGTTTGCTTAGCTTGGCAAAGCCGTCTGCCAGGAATACCGCTTTCTCCTCGGAAAACCAATCCTGAAGCGCTAGATTCCTGTTGAAAAGTCAAGTTTGTGTTGCCGCTTTACCCTGTCCTATTTTTACCCTTGCCGGAACAGTCGGACCATTCCTTCGCTTAGGAAACACAACACACATGAACTTCTTTCTCATTCTAAAGTTAAGCAAACAAAGTAGAAAAATCGGTATTAATTTTGCGGTTTCCTGTCCTTTTACAGTTCGAAACTCCAAGAATCCGGCAATTCTGTTCTTTTTTTCCCCTTTTTTCAGATCTGACGACTCGTCTGTTATGTATTTCTCGGACCGGCGCGGACTAGGTGTCCTAAAGAGCGTTAGACGAAGTCTTATGCGAGTTATTTTATTTAAAAAATCTATATTTTTTTTATCGGTACGAGTATTAAAATAGGTCACATCTGAATATGTCAGATCATAGCTGACACCGCCAGAAATTCGAGACATTTGAGTCCGCGGATTTAACAGCGGCAATTTGTTAAAAAATAAACGAAATGGCCGTCGCGAAAAGAAAGCATTCGGCGGTCGAAAATAAATTTGATGCAGTCACCTGCAAGAGCTCCAGGTAAAAAATGTTCACTATTACTTGCTTTAGCTCTCTCCATTTCAGCAATGCCTTGTGCGGTATTTTCGAACCTAGGTACGTTCCGGCTCTCTGTTTAAAAATATAGTGCATGGACGACGTATTTTCCAAAATGTTTAGTTGAAAATTCGCTTTCAACTGTTCTCGCCACGTATAATTTTCAGACATGGCAATACACAAAGAGAAGGAACAATTTCCCTCGAAGAAATCAAAATTCCCGCAGAACAAAATGGTAAAAACCACTGGGAAAAAACAATGACTATGGGCTCATATACAGCTGATGAGAAGCAAAAGTGAAGCATACACAAAGTAAATTTTGTATTTAGTGGTAAAACCACTGATCTCAAATATCGTTTTAACGTAAAAGTAGAGAAAAATATCTTTCAAGTGATGTGTTTTGGAGCAAAATTGGAGCATAGACGGTCGAAACATCGTAGTTCAAAGATAGCGAATTTTGCAATTTTATCGTGGATTGCCATGCGATGTTTACCGAAGGCATTTTCTTCATGGTTTTCAAAAGTAAAAAGGAAACATCGAAATTAGTCGTATGGAGCTGTGAGACCCAAGGTGAGGTATTTTAGCATACATATTTTTCATTCCAGTATACACATTTTTACGATCGCATTC